AGAATTGAACAAGTCATAGGGACTTTTATGTAATTTTAAGATTTTTTATATTATTTTAATATGTGTGGCATTCCTTTAGTTTATTAAAAGTTTAATAAATGCACATTTAATACAAAAAAATGCATAATATTATGGGTTAAAATGCACATTAAAATTCACATCGTAGTTTTATTAAACTATAGATTTTGCACTGCTTATCGTTCAGTCAGTTTAGTTGTTTTGGTCGTTTTAAATAATAATGTCGACATATAATCGAAATATTCAAAATTTTAAAAGTAAAACAATAGATAATTAAATTGAAATATAAAAAATTCGAACCGAAACAATCTTAGTTCGGTCGTTCTCGGCCACTAGTGTGAGACATTCATGTGCAACTTGTTTAACACGATTGTGCACTGTCTCTGTTGTTATGTGCATTCTAATCTAATCAAATTTGTTATCTCAACGTAAACTAAAAGTAATATTAATTATTTGGTGTATTTTACCGGTGAACCGTATAACCATAAATAATCAATAAATAAATAAATAATTACATTTTAGTATTATATTTAGTATTTTAATAATTTATTGAATAATTTTATAATATTATTTGGTTGAAAAACATAATATATGAAATCCTGAATTTGATGTTGTGCATTCATACTTAAAATAATTTAGTCTAACATTATTGTGCAGCATATTGTGCGTGTATTTTTTTTAACTGTGTTACAATTTTAGAAAAAAAAATAATAATGCGTATTTCAATTAATATGGTTGTGAAATAAATAAATTATTTATATATTAAAATATATTTAGCATTTATAATTCTTATTTAATATTTTTATACTATTTCTTGTTGAAAATATTTAATATACATATAAGTTGGTCATTTTTTTTTTTTGTAATATTTTAATGTGCATTTGATGTGACAATATTGTGCAGTCTGTCTTTCATTAATGTGCATCTTGTTTTGTAATATTGTGTAATCTGATCTGATAGTCACTAATGTGATATATTTAGCATTTTTATATTTTTTTTATTTAATATTTCTATTTTTTTTAACACAAATTATGTATATGTATAAAGAACATATATAAAAATAATTTATTTTTTATATATTTTTAGAAATTACAAATTTGGCCCAATGTACTCAATTGAAATATAACCAAAATTTTATAAATTACAACTAAGTCCTTCAATCCTATCTAATTCTCAAAATCAAGCCACACAACTTGAAGTTTTTGCAACACTTCTCTCATGACGGCGCGCGACGGCTGATGTCGAGAATGAGACGCCGTCGGCGATCGGACGGTGGAACAAGACAGCGGCGGTGGTCGAATGGCAGAACGGGGCAGTGACAGCGGCGGCGGACGAATGTCGCGAACGAGACGACAAAGATAGTTGGACGTCTCGACCTCTCAAGGCGGACGAACGAGATGGCAGACGTCTTGCAGCCGGCAAAGAGGCAGAAAGCCGTCGATTGCAGCTGCCGAGACCCAGAAGTCGTGGCTCGCGCACCTGCTTGCAGTGTTCGATGGTGATGTTGTACCTCCAAAGCACGCCGTCGTAGCCGGAGTATGTCGTTGTAGCCGACGCACGAGAATATGGTGGGGCTGACGATTTTTTGGCGTGACATCGGCAACATAGGACTTGACGGCGGCGGCATAAGAAAGGTTGGACCATAGGACGACGGTGGCAGTGGCGCCCGAGGTGGCTGACGGAAGCTGGACGGTATGAGTGTGTGTGTGTGTGTGTATGTTGTGCATAAGTGTGTGTAATTGTGAGAGAGAGAGAGAGAGAGTGTTGAGAGAGAGGGAGAGAGATAGAGAGAGAGAGGTGGGTGGGGTAGGTGGGGTGGTTGGGTGACTGGTGGGTGGGGATACTAGCAGACATATTTTGGAGTGGGGGCCCACTTGTTTGATTTTAGTGTGAAAATTAATGTAATGCCTTTAATGAAGGTATATTTGTTGTATTTTTATAAGCCGTTGGATCATTCGACGTAATGGCTACAATGTATTTTTATTTCTTTCACAGAGCACCATTCTCACCGGAACGCGACCCTATATATATATTCATTCTCATTTTATTATATATTTTTAATTTTAATAATTTTAATATTCTAAATATTTATAAATGTATAATATTTTTTATTAAAAATCCTACTATTTAAAATAATTTTATAAAAAAATAATAATCATAGTTCAAAGGAAAAAATTATCTTTGCGTACCCGTATAATAATAATGGTACAAAAATAGTAATTCTAGAACGTAATCAACTAATTCAGATATTTACTAGTTTTAATAATCATAGTTCAAATAACTAGTTTTTCTTCGTCATTCTCATCCACTCCCTAATAAATTGAGATTAAGTAGAGGAGATAATTAGTTATATTAACATAACAGTCATAGTAAAACAAAACAATAATAATAATTATATAATATAATAGTAATAATAATAATCATAAATAAATAGTGTGAGATAATTTAAAATATTTAAATTAACATACGCAAACAAGCTTTCTTTCTGCTTCTGCTTCCGTACGCACCATTATGGACATCAAATTTGATTCATATATAAAAAATAATACATCTAAATTATTATTATTATTATTATTATTATTATTATTATTATAAAACTAAAATGATACGTATAAATTACTATCTATTATCTATTATATACTAATTTAAATTAAAAAAAATAACGAATTACCTGGCTTTCAATAAGAAAAGTTTCATATTTCCCGTCTGCTTCATCATTGTCGCAAGTTTTGAAAACTGAAAAGTACCATCGAAATTCATTATTTGGGTTGACTTCACGTGAACTTTGCGTTGCGATGAGTGAGGATCTCGTTATGTACAAATCACGAATTCAATATCATCAATAAATCTATGTGCAGCGTTCTAGAGGTTTAGAGTTGAATATTTATGGCATAAAATTCCAGACTTTGAGTCGTTGTAGATTTCCTCTGTAGGAAATCGTCTGAACTCAAAATCCGTTGGGCAGCCGAAATTCTTCTCGTCGGACTTTATAAGCTCACAGGATGCAGTGGCCGGGAGCAGCACATGCGTCGCAGGGTCGCCAGTGATGCGTTGGGTCGTCGCACGGTCGTGGCGGGACTGCGGCATCGTCGGGATGCGCGTGGGGTCGCCGGCTGTGGGATCGTCACAGCTGCGGTGTCGGGCTGCGGCTCGCATGCGGTGGCTACGACGTCTTACGGTGGCGTCGTTTGCGGCTCGCAGCGGTCGGTGGTGATCGGTCAGCCGGCTGTCACGAGGTTGATCGCCGGTTGATGATCACGAGGTCTCGGTATCTCGGGATCTTCTACTGTACATCTCGAACACCTCTTGGAACAACAAGATGAAGATAAAGCTCGACTATGGGAACAAGAGAGAAAGAAGGGGCGGCCAACACGTCTTACACATTTGGTCTCTTGTGTCTCAATCCCATGATCTTAATGATGTATTTATAGAGCTACAGTAGGGATCATAAGAAGATGATGATTAGGATTGCTTAAGTATTGGGCCTAACTGTGAGACAAGCCCACTCTTGCCAATACTTTAAATAATGTCTCGGTCCACTAACGAAAACGTTATTGAACTCCCTTATCATCCTCAAAAATATATTCGAGACTCCAATTATAATTACTCGAATTACCTCCCCATGTTTAAGATATAATATCTGTTAATTAATTCGATTACTGATAATCAAGAATTAATTAACATCTTGTAAACTGAAGCTAGCACTCGCTCGTCACATTATTATTATGCCGGAACTTAATTTACCTGCAGGGTTTAACATAAAAATCCTTCATGAACTCATCTTGGGACATCATCAAACTGTGACATGGTGACCGTAAATATTCTAACAGTACATCGTACATGTGGTACTATTACCCAAAACATCAAGAATGTTGACCCAACTGAATGAATTTCACCTTTAGTGAATCAAAGAAATAGATACTACACATACATGCCTCTTTATATCTTACGAGTAAAGAGAACGCAGTAACCGAGACTAAGTTTGTTTACGATGATCAGTATAAAACAAACTACTACTCTCTGGAATCCTGTTCAATACATAAATGTACTAGTGCAATTAATCAGTCAAGACCAACTGTACAGTTGACACTACAACCGTTTTGATGGTTTGTTCATTTCCATCTAGGTTGTGAACCAACAATTTTTGTATCCCAAGTAGCCGATAAAATAATCTTCTGTTCACCCGCTAATGAACCATTTTATCTAAGTGCAAAGCAACAGAACATAGAACTCGTTTAATCAAACATGATTCTCATTCAACAAGGATAAAGTGTAACAGCATCCAAAGCCAAACCTTAAGTATATAACACTAACACCTTGAACAATATTTTTTTCCTATCATTGTTGCCAGCTCATCGGGGATAGCAATTCCATCTAGCATCTCTTTGGAAGATAAAATTATTAATTGTACTGCAATAATTGTACTACAATTAGGGGTGCAAAGAATTTGGTTAACCGACCGAAACCGAAACTGAATTTTTGGTTCGGTTTTCGGTTTGCATTTTATTAAAATTTCAGTTTCTGGTTCGGTTTGGATATAAATGTTCGGTTAACCGAACCGAACCGAAAACTGATACTGTACATATATGTTATAAAGGCCATATATTACCCAAGCCCATGTTTTTACTTTCTAGGCCCATTATATTAAAAAATATTGGAANCAAAGGCACAAACAAGCCCAATCCAACCCTTTCCTAAATTACTAATTCACTTCCTCTCCTCTCTGTCATCTCCATCTCCAAACTCCAGACCCGTCATCATCTCCTCTCCTCATCTGTCATCTCCCTTCTGCAAAGTCCAGACCAGAGATCTTAAGTCTAAACGAAAATTCGAAAGCTAGTAAACGCTAACATCATCTCAGCGGCCGCACGCAATCACGCACCCCAATTCTCCGATCGTCGGGCTCGATGCTCTGAAACTCCAAATTGCCATCGGGCTCCCGCATACCCTCCAATCGGCACTCGTGTTGCAACCGATTAAATCAATTCAAGCTCTCAAGGCAAAAATCAATTTATCTCTTTCGTCTTAAAAAAACAAAAATTTTAGAGACACCACCGTAAAATTGAAAAAATTAAAACTTACTTCAAAACACCACCGTAAAAAAAGTCGTAACATTTTTTCACAATTAAATCATTTCTCAGCCGACGTTAATTTTTTGGGACATTTGCGCCATGAGTGGTACCAATAATCGCCAATGAACAACTCAATGAGCGCACATATCTAATAACTGCCAAGTTGTATATATCATCAATATATATGTATATATATATATATATATATATATATTAATTAGTGTAATCTAATAATATTTTTTAGTTTACTTACCTGACCACATGTTTAAAGGTAGTAAAGGTAGTTGATAGTATTGACTGAAAATTCAATATTTTCAGTTTCGCTAATAACTATGGAGCACTGCCTTCGGCGATTGACCTTGCAATTTAGTGCATCCTCCATAACTTCAACAATTTGTTAAAAAAAAACAGTGCAAATTAATCGGTTAGAAAAAAAAAATATTATTCATATATTTATATCAGTAATAAATTATAAATTATATGTGAATTATATAAAGAACTCACGCTGCAGCAAACTCTATTATTGCTTCTGCGGTCTTGTTGATACCTAATTTGGCCACGATTAATAAAAGTACGACATGTGGCAAAATAAACAGGGGCTAAAATATGTGATAAATAGGTACACAAATATTAGGTTCTCCAAGCTGATCATTTAATATCACCATCCCGACTCGAATACAGTAAAGAATCCGTCTTTCGAAGACGCATGATACCGACAAAACATGCATCCATCATAGCCGTCAATCAATATTATTGGGTCCCGCACAGTCACCTCACATTTAATGTAAATGTACTATTTGTCTCTTTTATTATTTATTATTGTCCACTTGTTAGCCCTCTGTATATGTGTGGGCTCAATTATTGTGGGGGCTCTCTCTATCTCCATCATTGAGATGAAAGAAATACAAGGAAAATGGAGTTCAAAGGATGAATATTGTTGATTCTACACAATGATACAAAATTTCATGAAATATATTTGGGTTGATATGATTTCGTTTATCAACAAGTCTAATCGACAGTTAACTTTGTGATATCAAAGGTGTTTGAAACCTTGACTAATACTTTAAATAGATTAAAAAAAAAAACAAACTTTCATTAAGAAATTAAAAATTTTGAAATATACAAGTAAATATAAACAAATTAGCAATATTAAATTTATCTCCAACAGCTTTGGCACGACAAAATTGTAAAGTAACACGAGGTTCGCTTTCACGACTTAGTATTGAAGGTATTATTTCATCAACCTTTTCTTCCCACAATGTGCAAGATAGTTCGTTTCAATTGCAAAATTGAAAATAAATAAATAAAATAAGGTACGGAAAATAAATTAAATTATAATTTAAATAAAAACAACATGCAAAACAGAAATTTTCGTTGTTATTGTTATATAAAAGTTACTCGGTGTCCTCCAAAGTTATTTCCGCAAAATGTGTTGTTATGTTGTCAAAAGTCTTCGTCTGCTTTTTGTGTATACCGACAAATCGCCCAATAACGTCTGCAAATAGTGGTTAAAACATGAATTAAAATACAGGTTAAAGATTTAATAAAGTAGGAATAAAAAAAATAATTGTACCAATGAGCATGGAGTCAAAAAAAAAATCATTTGGCCAACTCAGTAAAGCTCATGAAATTATAGAGGAATTTGGAAAACTATCTTCAGACTGACCACCCAAATGCGGCCATGACAAAAAAATTGTACCTTCCTATTGTTATCTTGTACCTACCACCATTTTCAGCTACAATGAAGACCCTAATTGCAACAACACTTTCTTCCTTCAGATGGCGCCTAAAAAGCTCCATATGGAACTCTTTTATAGAAGCATAATTATAGTACCCCTTAAATTACCATTGATATGTTAGATCCAATGGTATGGATTTATTCTTAGTTCTTTCACTATCTACCATTCTTTCACTATCTACCATTCTTTCAAGTTGCCACACACACACGTGACAAATCTCACCCACTACACATCTCTCTCTCGCACACTCCACGTCTCTCTCTCACACACTCACACACAGCTCTCACACACTACCCTGCACACACACACTCACACACACTACATCGGCCGACGGGCGGTGGCGCACATCACAAACACACGACTCTCAGGCGCACACACACTGTATACACACATACACAACACATACTTTCATTGTACACACTTAATACACACAGGCACGACCCGTCTCTTCCGCCTGCCACCGCCTACACCGCCGCGCACTCATCCAACCACTGACAATGGTCGTCTGCAATGTCCCGCCAGCCAGCTCCGCCGAGCTGCACCTCCGCCCACATCCATCAGTTCGAAGTTTCAGTGGCATCTTCGCCGACCGGAAAGCCGACTTTCAGCAATGAGTCTGAAATTGATCTTTGAAATTGGACCTCTTTTTTGAGAATTTGATTATGTCTAGGGACCTATTTGCAATTTTAATAATTTTTATTATATTTCAATTTAACCCATGAGTCAAATCTGTAATTATTAAAAGTTAATAAAAAATTATTTTTTATATGTTTTGTTATGCACATATATTAAATAACAAATAAATTATTAAAAATACAAATAATATAAAATATTAAAATAATTTGGGAATAATTTATAATAATAAATAAATTATATAATAAAAATAATAATTAAAAAGATATTTTAATTATTTAGGTTAATTCGATTTAGCATTATATCTATTAAAAATAGTTTTTGAATACACATAATTTAAATAGGAAATTATAGATTAGTGCACTTTATATAGCATGATGTTGCACTTTGTAAACCAACACGTCGCACTGTATAAAACAACACGTTGCACATTATCACCACACTCCACAATTAATTTCAAAACTAAATATAAAATATTAAATATAAACGTTGAAACGCTTTGTTTCGTTTCCGTTCGAGTTGGTTGCGTGGAAATAAAAATATTTTTATGATATAAATAATAAATCACATATATTATTTAGATCAATTCGGTTAATCGACCAATTAAATCTGTTTTAGTTTGGTTTGGATCATACTATTAAAAATGCCTGCAATCAGTTACACAATATTGTTATACGAATTGCACTTTCATGACTATCGGATTGCACATTTTGGATCAATTATTTGTTTATACTTTCAATTCACGGTTATTTCAGTTTGATGTCGGTTTTGCTTTTAAAAATAACATAAATAACCGAACAATATGAAAAATATTATTATTCTTTTTTAAATGTTTATGTATCGCGTGAGCACATTAGGGTTGTATGAATTGCACATTACCGAACGGAATTGGTCGACTAAAATTTTCAGTTCAAAGATTTATATTTTGGTTTGATTTTATTTCTTTACTTTTAAAAGCTCGATTATTTAGTGTAATATATAATAATATCAATATATTAGATATATATTTAATAAAAATAAGAAATAATTTTGGTTATTTAAGGCACTCCGATATGATCAAAACCAAACTTTATTGGAGTAATTTCGCTGTTCTAGGGTTTCAGCCTAGTATGGGCACTCCGATATGCTTAGGGCAAGATGATGAATTAGCCCAAAAACTATTAGAAGTCTCTCTTCAGATCGTGAACACGCATTTATAGACATAGCCCCAACTGATATCAAGCTCAGCGATGAAGAATGTCACAGCAGCCTCTTTGGAAAAACCATATGAGACAAAAAAGCTAGCTGGATTGGCTTGAAGCGTACTATGAGCAACATATGGCGGTTATAACAGCCAATGGAAATCAAAGAGCTGGGGCATAATTATTTCCAGTTTATATTCCAAAGCAAGGAAGACCTTCGACGAGTTGCGGCGGGTACCAACTGGATATTTGACAACCAATTCCTTATTCTAGCTGAATGGCAAGCAGGTCTCTCTATCAACCACCCCATCTTCTCTGAGCTCCACCTATGGGTACAAGTCTTTAATATACCTTTAAATTGGTTGAGTTCGGAAGTGGGTCTCAAAATAGGCAAAGTTTTCAAATCAGTTCAAAATGTGGTGATAGTAGGTGCAGAAAGTCATGGGGGTCGTGTTATGCGTCTGCTGGTTACTATAGACCTCAATGAAGCCTTACCTCGTTGTGTTAACCTTAGACTTGATGACCAGGCAGTTAATGTGGGCTTCAAATATGAAAGACTGGTAAATCTTTGTCAGTATTGTGGTCATAGTGGCCACTTGGATCATGGATGCTCTAAGAGGATGATGGATATTAAGGACAAAACTCTGAAGGAAGGCCAATATGGTGAATGGATGAGAGCCACAGACAGTCAACACTGGGCAGGACTTAGCAACTCAGATTCCAAAAGTCCATCAAAGTCTGATATCCCTACTTCCCCAACTCACACTATTCCAGCTCACACACCTAACAGTCAATATGAAGAAAGCAGCCATATCATACCAATCACAGATGAGAGTTCTCAGAAATCAAACCACAATTCAACCACCTTCTCACCTGCTAAACTAAATAACCCAGACATGAATTCACAAATGCCTTTATCCTCATCTCTTATGCTGATTGAGATAGCTGATGGCACAACACCAAATGACATGGAAATGGAGCCAAACAATCATACCACACCAAAACAACAAGCAGAATGCTCTGGTCTTATCAAGCCCCCCCCTCCCTAAATCTTGGAAAAGATCATCAGCCAAATCAGGCAGACTTCAAAGGAAGGATGATAACCATAAACAGGAGTTACTCATTGTTCATTGCAAAAGACTCAGGACAGAAATGGAGGTTCCTCAACCAAATGACATTGAACACACCATAGGACATGAGGACATGAAGAAAATTAAAGTCACTAATGAAAAGGTGGAGGTTGCCAGCCTTGAATGGCACCCAAGTGACAAATGCTAGCTGTGGTGTGGAATTGTAGAGGGCTGGGTGGACCCTCTACAATTTCCCAAATCAGAGAGTCATGCAAGACTCACTACCCATGTTTTGTTTTTCTTTCTGAAACACAAAAGCAAAATGGTTTTGTAAAGTCTGTCAGCAAGAAGTTGGGATTTGAAGGTAGGTTTTCTATAGTTAACCCCAGGGGTCAAAGTGGGGGACTACTTCTTCTTTGGAGACATGATGTTGATATCCTACAAGTCCAAACAAAAAAGTTCTTTATTGCAGTAGAATTCAAAATGCCAAATGAAGAGACTTCTTAGGGAGTTTTTGTCTATATGAACACAGATAAGGCAACAGAGAATGTCAGTGGAATGTTATTGAAGAGAGCAAACATAGTTGGGGAGACAAATGGTTTCTCATTGGAGATTGGAATGACATATGCTATGCTGAGGATAAAAGATGAGGGATCAAAAGAAGTGAGAGAAGTCTTTTAGGGTTCAATGCATTTATTCACAGAATGGAGATGGAAGAAATTGCTCTGAAGGGCTAACCATTCACTTGGGCAAACAACAGAGACTATGAAGGCTTTGTGGAGGAAAAGTTGGATAGTCACAATGGACTGAAGACCATCCTCAAGCCTCAGTTACACATGAGATAACCTGGGCCTCTGATCATGGCATGCTCATACTGGACTCTGGTATCTCCCAACCTAGGGCAAAAAAAAGGTTTACCTTTGATAAAAGATGGTTGAGTATGACAGGTTGTTCTGAAGTGGTTCACAAAGCCTGGTCTATACCAATATGGGAAACCCCTTTCTACAGGTTAAAAGAGAAATTCAAATCCACCAGATTAGCTTTGCTCCACTGGAGCTCCCACAACAAATCTCAGAACCTGAAAAATATTCAAACCCTCAATCACAAACTTAAAGAATTGAGAAAGGAAGGGAGAGACAAAGCTTGGGAGGAATGGGAGAAAACTAGAAGAGAACTTAATGCAGCTCACAACTAGGAAGAGCTCTTCTGGCAACAGAAATCCAGAGCTCATTGGTTGAAGAATGTGGATGGCAATTCAAAGTTCTTCCATGCCTATGTCAGACAAAGAAGAAAGATGAACTCCATATCAAGGCTGGTGGATCAAAACCACACTGTATACAAGTCACAAGCTAACATTGAAGGACACATTATTGATTTTTATAGCACACTCTTTACCTCTGAAGGCTCATGTGGAGGAGAGATTCTTCTGCCCCTCATCCCCCAATCTATTACTGAAGAAATGAACAGAGACTTTACTAAACCAGTTGATGAGGAGAAAATCAGAAATGCTCTACTTAGTTTGGCACCAGAGAAAGCCCCTGGTGAAGAAGGTATGACCCCTCTTTTCTACCATCACTTCTGGACTCTTATAAAAGCTGATTTGTCTGAAGCAATCCTGAGTTTTTTTCTCATATGGGTTACTTCTTAAATACTGGATCAAAACTCTGGTTACTCTTGTTCCAAAGTGTAAAAATCCTTAGCAAATAGGTCACTTCAGACCTATCAGCTTATGCATTGTGGTATATAAGATCATTTCAAAACTGCTTGCCCTGAGACTGCAATCATGCCTAAGTTCCTGCATTTCACCCTGTCAAGCTGCCTTTCTTAAAGATAGACAACTATTGGACAATGTGATCATAGCACAAGAGGTGTTCCACTTTCTTAATAGACACAGAACAAGGAATAGTTGTTTTTAGCTCTGAAGCTTGACCTCATGAAGGCTTTTGACAGGATTGAATGGAAAAGCATCCAAGGCATTATGTTTAAAATGGGTTTTGATAAAACTTTTGTTAATCTGATAATGGTTTGCCTCTCCTCCTCTTCTCTGGCTTTCAAAGTTAATGGCAACATAAGCAATATTGTTTTTCCCACCAGGGGCATTATATAA